TAAGGGCATCTGGCCAACTCATGAGAAAGACTTGAGGATATATGAGCACTTTCAGTTCACTGAACTTACTTTTGTTATTCTGTACCTTTATCTGCCACTTAATTCTTAGGAGATATGCAAGTAATCCAGCTAGAAATTTTTGCCTAATTCATCCGTGGGGCAAAAATGCAGTCTACCTGTGGCAGCTGCAAAGTAGGTATGAATAAGTAAATAAATAAATAAGCCCTTTGTTTAAAGATGGGAGAATGCTACAAGAAGAAAACAGTAAGATAGAGTACACAATCAGACTAGGGGGTTTGTTTTGTTTTGCCATGGTGAACAGTATTTGCAGACCATGGGACTGTGAAAAATGGAACAAGGCCATATTAAGGAGTATCAAAACAGCTGGGCTCAGGTGAATTTGACACAGTATGATTGCTGTTTTTCCTACAAGCATTTTTTGAAGGTGCTAGGGATGGTGAGTTTTATCTTCCTTTACAGCGCATCATAGGTAATCTATCTCTGCAAACGCAAAACAGGTGAAGCTACCCTCATCCATTTCTTGTGGGATATATGCATTTTGGATGAGAAATTGGACAAAAATGAAAGGCCAGCATCTACATATAAACGCTATTCTTTTCTTGCACAAGGAAAAGTAGCAATTGGTCAGATTTCCACATTCCTGTATTCTTAATAAAGAATTATCTTCCCAAACAGTAAGATGAGTATTTAGAAGCACCTTGCTGACCCAAGCACACAAGTTCTCCATCACTGGCATTACTGCAGGTATTGTTGGCAAAGTAAATTCATTTAACTGGCCACATGGGAAGTGCACCTTTATCTTGTCCAAACAGTTTCACAGAGGAAGCCACACGTAGACTCCTATCCACTTTAATAAACAAATACTGCAGGGCTTCAATAATGTGGTGAAACAACTGTTAGCTAGCAGTGGAAGAAACAGCTTCGCTACATTCAAAATGCCCCTTCATAAGCATCTTCCTTGGGATTTTGCTTCTGTTTATAATTACTATTATCTTTTATTTCTCTTGCAGCAGTAGCTAGTTACATGATCAGGGCCCCCTTCTTCCACGAGTTGTATGAAGATGGAGAGAAACAAATCTCGCCTGGAGGAAGCCATGATCTAAACAGACAAGAGGGACGAAGGGAGGCAGAGGCAGCGAAGGCGCAGGGGGGTGAATTGGCTCAGCGGAGACCCAGGGCAGCTGCAGCAACACAGCACTAGGCTCCGTTTTACACTGCGACCAGGCTCCCTTTCCAAGACAGCCTTTTTTCAGTTATTCTGCCAAGCTCTTGTCATAGTTACCATTTTAAAACTTTTTTTTTTTTTAATGTGTAAGTAAGTGGTGAAATTTAGCATTAAAAGTCTTAGCTGGGATTAATATGTTCCTGCTGGAAGGAGGTGTGGGTCAGATTGAAGCATACAGCTTTAGGTTTATGTATTAATCATGTATAATGCAACTAGTTAAGAAGTATACTTGAGAGGAAAGTGAATGAAGCAATTCTGTTTTATTGGCAGACAGGATTTGTTAGAAACATTTTGGTGATCAGATTAAAGCTTCTCAGTCTCCATCCCGACATGAAAATAAGTGATGGATTCAGGAAGGGGCAGGGCTAACAGGACTGCCTCCAACAGATTGTTTACATAAGAATATAACAGACCTCACTGAAAGCTTGCTTTTCAGGAGGGAATTTTTTCACAATACTGTTTTATCATGTTATATATAGCCTCTAAAGTGGAATTAGGAAGTGTGACATTTATTCAGATGAAGGCAGGCAGGTAGTCCATTTTAAGAAGATATCTCTTCCCCTGTGACTCCTAGGCAACTTTTAAATAATTTTAGAGCTTCCCTTCATGTTAAAGGCTCATTATCTTTTATAGGAATTCTTTAGAAGTCTTCTGATCCCAAACACCAGGAGTCATTTCTCAAGATAGCACTAGATTTCTTATTCCAGGTCTCTCTCATGGTTTTCTAATATTCTATGTCTTGGTGAATAAGGTATTCAAGAATTGCGTATCCTTGGTTCAGAAGAAAAGAAAAAAATCACGAGTCATGATCTTTATGTCCATTTCTAAAAAGAAAAGGAGAAGGATAATAACTGGCTTTCATGGCTCCCACTCTAGCACTGTGGTCCTTGATTTGGCATTGACTCTGGCAACTCTTTCTCTTCATGTTTCTTTTACTATTCAAGCCTCTTTCTTTCCTTCCATCTTTTTTCTTTGTACTCCCTTTTCATACAATCTCTGACAACCAAAAGTTGGAGCCACTTCTCTGGGATGAAGGTGGCAGGCAACAATACCATTCTGAGGCACTAAATAAAGGCATAACTGGAATTACTACCATTTCCTTCATAGCTTTAAGTCTTGTTAAGCTATCCACGTTGTTTTTTTTAGCTTGGATGAGCTGCATTTATATTGAGAAAAAGTCAGTCAGTTTTAGATGCAGCAAGTTGGGACATATGTTAGGCCACCCCTGAATTTGCCCCCCTGAACTACCAATAAAAAGTCATCTGCCCTCTTTGGACATCGAAGGTCAACAGCTTTTTAGTTTACATACAGATGATACTGGGAATGCTAGGAAAATAAGGTCACCACTCTAATTTAACAGAGGACTTATCACAGGAACTAAGGCAGGCAGAAATTTATCCAGCAGTGTTACCAACAGAGTAGGTGGAAAATTTCATTAAACGTGGAGGAAAAGAGTCACCTGCACATAAAAGTTTTTATTTTAAGTTCATAGTAATGCCGCCAGTGGTGAGCATCTGCATACAGGAAGTATAACATTACAAGAGATGGTTAACACGTGGAGAATAGGAGTGCAAGGAGACTTCAGTCATGTCTGTCTGTCTTTCATTTCAACATCAGCGACTAAGCCTGTTTAAGCCACTAACTTTTTTTCTCAAGTGATGTGAGCTACTGCTCAATGGCCTGTACAGGGACAATTAACATACAGACTGAAGGAAGAGAGGAGGCCAATATACCACAAGGAAGGCTCAACAACATATTTATATTAATCTTTGTTATATTTTGGAAGGCTGTTTCTTACCAACTGCCTGGGCTAGATTTCATCACCTTCTGCCTCTGAGAAAAGGGGGCATTAGGGTTGACATCATGGAGCAAGGCAGCACATGATACAGGATCAGTTAATTGCAAAGACTGAGTTTCACAGAGGAAGCCTGAGGCTTTTATCTACCAGTAGGGCTGTCCCTGAGGACTATCCCTGAGAACTACAGTCTAGAAACCAACTTGTGGGAGAGAGCGAAAGGGAGCTAGAACAACCACAGAGAAAAAGAAAACAATAGACAACAGAGCTCAGGATATAGTATTGGGGAAAATAAAGGCAGGTACAGGCCCATAGTTTGGAGTCACTTTACCGAATTATATGCCAGTCATAAAAATGCTACCAAAACTGGGGACCCAGATATACCAGAAGCCTACCATGGCCCTCTTCTGCTCAAGTCACTCCCCAAAGAAGTTCATCTTTAATGCATGCTTGATTAAGGCTAATGCTGGGCCCCTTCTATGCACACACTAACACCCCAACAGCATTTGCTCTAATGGCCATGCTGGGAGCAGTACGTGTGTCAGTGCGGATGTGTGAGAGTACACACACGTGCGTGCCTGCTATCTCAGAGCCAGAGGGGTTTTCATTAGATTCAAACAGCAACCGACTCTCCAGGGAAGCTCCTGCTCTTATTTGATAAGGGATGCTCTTTTATCACACATGAAACTGCATGCAGTGATCAGACAGGCACTGTGCATAGCTGCCAACAAGAGGAAAGCTGCTTTTCTGTAGCATATTACAACAGTGTGTCACTGCTGCAGTTGAAAACTGGTCCAAAAACGGTCAGTTATGGAAGTCACAGAAACTGGTACTTCTCCTCAACCACAAAAAAATCTGCCATTATTAATGTATTTATTAGAGAGATTTTGGATATCATGTTATTTTTGAGAAGATAGAGCCAATTATGGTAAATCAGAGCGGAGAAGACATTTGAGGTACTGGGACTTGCAAATCTAATACAGGTGACACTCTTCCTTTCACAGAACTTCCAGTCCTGCATTCTCTGGCATGTAAAACAAAGTGAACACCACCTGTAAACACAAATGTTAGTGGTCTAAAATACAGCTTTTCAAAAGAGAGTAAATTGGATTTTCCTTCCTTTTAGAGAAAAAATGTCTTTTTACTTTCAAGGGTAAACCTTTGCCAAGCTAACTGACATCCCAAAACTTCAAAACACTCAGTCAATCTGCAAAAATCCTATAGGCATGAAAATGCATGTCAGTACTGGTCTAATAAGTCACCCAGGCACATCTGGTGGGCCGGCACGTCAGTAGTCTCCTTTTCACTCTCTAGTGAGAAATTGTCATTTCTACAGCTTTTTTCATAATACTTTCTCTACATTCTCAGCTACGTTCACATTTGTGGGAGTTGCAGCTAACACACACCTTAAAACTGGATTGTTTTGTCTCGAGTCTAGAAAGTAAAGAAGGCAGGTTGTGACTGTATATACATCCCAGATTCAACAGAATTAGGAGATGTATTTTCTGAAAGTTACCTGCCAGTGGCCAAGTTAAAATGACTACTGTAAGTATCTTGAGACTTGGTTAAGGGTTTTTTTAATCCATATTTTCTTCCACTTCTGGGATTTTTTTTAACAGATGCTCCTGGTATTTCTGTCTTGTTAGTTATTATTTGACCTTGACCAAAGAATTTTCTTATTTCTTCTTCTCTACTGAGCTGTAGCTCATCAACGTGGTACAAATATTTAAAATTAGATGTTAATCCTTTCCATCTTTAAGTCATCTTTTCTCTCTCTACTAAATAATGTTTTTTATTAACCATACTGACTTTCCAGGCGTTATTACATGCAGCTGAATGACAATTTAAATTAAAAACAACAAAAAACAACTTTCCTCCCTCTAAACTAGGGAGGCAGTAGACAAGCCTTTTTCACTCAGTGGTAATATCTGGATCACAGAGAAGCGTTTCAGTTCTTACTTTTAACAGTGAGGTACATGGACTTGCTGACGTCTGCTCCCACATCATTGCTGACCTTGCAGAGGTAGTATCCACTGTCTTCTTCCAGCACATGTTTAATCAGCAAGGAGCCATTTGTGAGAAGCTGGATACGACCATTCAATGCAATTGGCTGGAACTGAGGAACCCCAGCACCTAAAGCAGGACCCCCACAAAAACAGTTTAGTTAGGAAGGAAAGGACCTCAGTTTTTTGTAAATAAGGCAGAACCAATAGCTTCCTATTCTTAGAGGCTCGATTCAACTAAAATGCAATTTGTTTCTGGGACCACTGTAACAAACGGAATGGTCCTTGCCAAACTTGAACTCATTAAAAGGAAAGGAAAAAAGACTTACCGAATATAATGGTAGAAATAATTTGCCCATGTTGTTAAGGAATAGAAGTAAAGGGGCAAAACGAGCATGAAGTAGGAGTGGAAGAACCAGGAAGGGAGAAAGAATGAAACAGATCTGAGAACAGCTCATGGGTAAAAAGGCACATTTGTTGTACATTTAGAGGTTGATAAATTATTGACAATTACAGCTGAACAGTCACAGAACTATGCATCCCTTATGCATACACCAAATGAATTTCTTATGACTAACAGGGATGTCTGTTGTAGTAAACATGGAATACTCAAGGGACCTCTAGGACCTTGTTTACTAAACTCTGGGTAACACGGAAAAACACATCAGTGACTGTGTTGACTGTTTCCTCCTACAGCTGACTGACTGATGACACAGTCTCTGTTCTGCCATATCTGGGGCCAGTATTCATTCAGACTGATTAAAAAAAAATCACAAAGAAAGAAAGAAACAAAAAGCTCAAAACACTAATCAGGTGTAAGGTGCCACATTTCATAATGATTGAAAGTCCATAAAAACACAGGAAGCCAAAGGTTTCTGTATCAACTTTGGTTTTCAGAAAAAAAAAAATCTTAACAGAAATTTAAGATTGAAACAGCCTTTTAAACCCCATGACACACACACTTGTAGACATACACCCAAACTCTTCTCTTTACGACCCAGAATTTTGGCAGAAATGGCAGCTGGCTGGACACAGCCACATGCAACTGGCATACTTGTTTTCTCTCACATGTTCACAGATGACTGATTTACAAGCGTATTAGACACCACCTTTTTGCCCCATCCTAGAAGAAGGTCCAGTCAAGGGATGAGTCTCCAGTTTCCTCCCACCCCCACAGGGTTATGTTCGCATAAAGCAGGTATGAAATAAAAAAACAGAGTGGCCATTTTATCCTTTAATATTGTAGCTGGATGCGCTGTTCCTTTCCCTCACAGCAAAAAAGTGGGGCAATACTCATTCAGTGGCGTTACTGGACATAGTATCTGATGATTCTTGAATTACTGCTGGAGTATACGAAAGATCCCAGTCTCAGAACCACACGGTTGTGTTAAGGCTACCTTTACTTAGAATAGAGACACTAGGTGATCTAGGGAATAAGAATAGTTTTTATTTAGCTAGCTGATCATAATAATATAATGCTTACTTTGTCATATTGTCCAGAGGCTGACCACAAGCCCAGCATTGGGAATTCTCCAAATGTATATTAAGATATGGTTCTCGCAATAAGGATTTTACAACACATTTTACAAAGTTTGGCAGCAGGAGAGGGGATTTTTCAGAGAAATCATAAGGTAGTCTTCTTCAAGGGAACTCTCTTTTACTGCTTTCCGTACACAAAGTTGATATCTGTCAGCATTAATTACTATATGCAGTTGGCTGAGTCAGCCCAGGAGGAAATACAATGAATAAATACCATGAGGAATGATTTAATATAAAATAGCAAGCTATAACAACCTATGAATATAACATCTGGAATATTAAAAAAGATCTGACCTGCATACTAAAATTCTTCTAGTCCTGAAAGTGTTTGCTTTGGGGACTGGCAGTTACACTGAAGGTTCCCAAGGCTGACAGTGTGAACTTAAAAATGTTAAAGGTAAAATATTTCAGAAAAATCAGCTGCAAAAATTATTTGATTTTACAGCTATTTTAGTCACATGCATATCCCTTCTTTTTTTCTTTTTTTTTTCTTTTTTACTTTTTTCCTTCAATAAGCCATTTTCTGTCATTTAGTAGGAAGGCACAATTATGCTTTGTTAATTTTAACCTGTCTGCAATAGAGAGGCCAAATAGCCTGAGGCAAACGCTCACTTATATTTCTCCGCGTGAAAAATTCTGAGGACAGTTTGGTGTTCAAAGAAAGGAAAGGACTGCTAGTCCTTTGGAGAGGCAGAATTTTGCCTATCCTATGGATAGTTCTATGGTTGGGCAACACTTGGCATAAAAGTCTGCAAAGGCATCTTACTCCTTATATGCACCTTTTCTGGTATATACAGCCAAAGTTCTTCCTGAGCAGCGACAGCTGCTCATCACCAGCAACTGCATGGAGGATTCTGTGGGGTGACTGCACGCTCATAAAACACTAAAACAACACATTCTTGCTGATTAGGGGGTCTCTGTATTGATCTGCCATTATTTTTCAGAGACAACAAGTCTGTTACATGTCTACCACAATGCGTAAGAAAGCAGACTCTCCTTTTCTCTTTTTCACCAACATTAAAAGCCTAATTGCCTTGCAGGTGCACAGATGCCCTTTTTCACTCTGTTGTAGCACCTACAAGTGAGCTAGGACCTGACTGCTTCACTCCTGCTGGCCTAACCGCAGTAATTATTTCAGAATTTGGTACAAACCCAGCTCCTAAAGCAATTATATAATGTGTCTCTTTAAGGCAAGACGGACCATATAGCCCATAGATGCACACAGATTCATCTAGCTATTGAAACTGAGGACGTGCATTAGCAAAATGCAGAGAGAGAATAAAAATAATAAAAATACTGACCTTTTCACCTGGAGTTATTTTGGTCAAAAACTGAAACTGCAATTTGACGTCTTTGCATATATAAAGTACCTACAACTTTCTCTGACTTACAAACCTCAGAGCTGTTAAGAGAAAACCTTAAAAAAATGCCACTTGAGAGCAAAGTACCCCTAAAATCAAACTGCCGTCCTTTTCTCTTTTAACATAGGCTGCTTGTCTCATCACAGTTAACTACAACTCAGCTAGGCTGACTTGGCATCTTCCTTCAACACACAAGCAGAATAAAACAGAACTGCTGCTTTGCGACCTACATTCACAATTAAAATCCCACGTACCACTGACGTTCACAGGATTTGGAATGCTGCACCCTTCTTGCCACAAAACGGAATGTATCAATAAAAGCATTAATAGTCTTTAAAATGAACATTTCTCTTCCCCCACTCTTTTCCTCCTCATGTAATTTAGACTTATCGTAAGGGATAAGGATTTATTCTCAACAGCACCTGATTTTGTCCATATGTCATTTGGGGCACATTTAAAGATCTCTAAAGAGCTGACTTACGTGCACAGGATACAGAGTTCGAAGAGCCTTTTTTTTTTTTTTTTTGATAACACCAGCTAAAAGATAACTGGCTAGAAGACAAAATCTAGCAAGCAGCATATTTTAATTAAAAAGCTGTCAATTTCATATGGTTAGTTAGGGTCAAGTGGGGCCAGTTTTAATGCTCTGTTACATGAAAAGAAAATGTTAAAGCATTATGTAAAGAGCATACTGAATTACTGCTTATGCTAATACTACCTGACCTTTCTTCTTTGCTGAAAAGATATGATTGGCCATGTTATCATGGATTTTGAAGGAAAAAAAGGCAGCCAAATGCTACCAGTGAACCTCGTTCTATGGCTGTCTCAATTAAAGCAGCGTTTCTTTTCTCTCAGGCTTACATTTCATCACTAGTTCAGCTGAGAGCACAGCTAACGCACACACACACTCACACACACATGCACGCACACACACTCACAACTCCAGGAAGTGTACTATGCTTAAACTAAAGGTCATCTAGCTCAGCCTTGTATCTGTGACCGAGGCCAATACCACACGCTAGAGCGAAACAATAGAAGAGCAGTGCAAACATCACTCATACATCCCTTACGTATCCTGCTAGCTTCTGACAAGCTGAAAGTTAAACCAGCAGCTTACTGGGAAGTAAGCTATTACTAAACCACTATTAATCCCTCCCCAGCGCTCACAGGACGAATCATACCTTTCGAATACTTCCAGACAATGGTAGGAACAGGATAACCCTCTGCAGAGCAGTTGAGAATTACAGCTTTTCCATATATCCCATCCTGGTCACTTGGCTGAACCACAAATCTAGGTGGCACTGTGGGAGGAAGAAGAGGAAGCCGTGAGAATTTGTGCAGCTGATCAGATAGTTTAAAATGGCAAATAAATCAAAGGGAAAATAAGAAGGCATGACATTTCAGAACAGAAAGAAAAATTAAAAAAAGCTCTTTAAGGATGCAATCACATTGTGAAGATGGTTTTATGTAATTTTTTACTTACTGTGCACAAACTTTATTTATTTCTTGCCAGGGACAACAAAAGCCCTGGTCTTGACCAGATACAAAAATAAGATAATAGAAATCTCTCCATGGAAAGTTTCAACATATTTTGTTTGTATCAAGGTGAAGAGCAGAGGTCTTACTGCATAGATGTATGTGCAACAATATGCATAGATGTATGTGCAACTTACTTACATAGATGTATGTGCAACAATATGTACGTATTAATTGAGTTATTCTAAGGCACCATAAAACCACTGCAGAGACTCTTGCAGATATACACAAGTACATACATAAAATAAAAACTGTACATGGAAAGCTGTACACGTTCCAAACACAAATACACAGCAAAGAAAACAACTTATTGTGGCAATACTAGACCTACAGTAGACCATGAAGGGCGGATACTAAACATCAATGTAACAATAAGACCTGCAGATTTGACAAAAGTTCAAATGAAAAGCTGGAAAGTGTGAAGAGTTTTCAAAGAGCCACAAAACTTACAAAAAATAAGCAGGGTGCTTAACAAGGTTATGGCCTTATCAAAAAGTCCATTAAAGTTAGAGGCTTTCGTCGATTTCCCGTCCTTTGGTTCGGGGCTTGAAAAAGTAAACCCTTGAGAAAAAAATAAATTATTTGTGCCCTCAGCCCATGAACTCTTCTTGTTGTGGTTTCTTAGAGTGCTACATAGAAAACATAGGAAGGTGACCAAGCCTCTGAAAGACTTCTTCCCCCCTTAAGCTGAGAACAGTAAGAAGCTCAGATTTAACACAGGAAGGAGAGATACTACTAGTTCCTTCTTTCTTCGGCTCCCTGCAGCACATGCACGCTGGGATACACGCATGGTCATGGATTCACAACTTCCCATTTGACTGAACTGGAAAGTCAGCGCCGAATTTGTCTGCAGGTACAGACAGAGACGCTGAAAGTCTTCAAGAACAGCGGGCTCAGGGAACCCTCCTTGCTCCAACACAACACTTGGCCCCAAATCGCCATTCGGCCTCATCATCTGCCTCTCAGGGTGCCATAAATGAGAAAAGGAAGTATGACAGAGGGCTGTAACATGAGGAAACACAAGGCAGCATAGAAAGGGATCTTCGGTACAGGGACAGACTACTCTATTTGCCCTGGGACCCGAAATAGCTCTTAGTGGTCTGTGTGCAGTACTATTTATATATCTGAAACTTCAGCTGCCAATGATGAGACTAGCCAAGGTCTGCTCAAAGTTGGAGATACCTAGAGAAATTTGCTCCAGGTGCAGAGAACCCTCCTCACAACGGCGTGAGCCTTCTTCCCTCTGCCTCCATAATCCAGTGCTCCTCTACCACCTTTCTCTTCCACCTTCACAGCTACAATTAATTTTTAAAAGATGAGTCAGCAGTAACTGGAACAACCTTATGGCAAGCAAACAGTCTCTTTAACCGGACCTTCTGCTCATTCAGTCCTAAAGCTAGAATGTAAAGCTGTTTATTAACTAAATATTTACTGAGAAGTTTTACTTCTGTTTGGAACATGGTTATAAGTAACACAGGGAACCATCAGCAACAAAAGCAAGAGCCACCTTTGCACTAGAAGAGATCTTGTTTTTCTTCCTTCTCTAACGGAAACCTTTACTATATTTATTACTGTGAAACAACACTTCAGCTTTCCAAATAACTGCCACACTGACAAGTTTAAATCATATGCTGTGTTAATTCATGATAGGTATGCACCAGACACGCAACCCTGGCAACAGCGGTCTTGGGCAACTTTCCTGTTCTAATTATCTATGCATCAGAAACATTTACTTCAGTACTTCAGTTCCAACTATTCTATGTTCATTTTGCCACCACATGCAAAAGAAGTCCTAAATACTTATTTTCCAAAACAGGTGAAAAATATAAGTAGTGGCACAAACATGTTTGATTTCATACCACTCACAGTTCCTATCAGCTTGTTTCACCTGGAGAACTGTAAATAAATTTATTTTCACAGCTTCCAACAAATCAATTATGAGCTGCTTAGCTTGTAAAGAGGATAGACAAAAAATAGCCACAATTATGGGAGAAAACACTGTCATTAAAATATATTATGTAAATAAAAATCCTGGAGTTTAAGGTCTACAAAAAGTTCAGAGAGATAACACATGCTCAGAGAAGGACAGGTATGAGAATGGACACGTTTTTGCTAACAAACAGAAAATGCATTAGAACTAGCAAGAACTGCCCTACTGGGTCAGATCGATGGTCCATCTAGCCTAGTATGCTGGCTCTGGCCCTGGCAAAGGACATGCTACTTACTGAGAGGGTATGAAGCTGGCCCCCTTCCTGCAGGCCCATTCCCTTCACACTCCCCCACCACCCACAGCTGTTCCATGAGGTCCACCATAAGACACATGCCTGCCCAGTATGCACTGAAAGACCTGTTGTTTGCTGCTTCACCTCATCGCCTTTTAAACCTGCCATACAGACTACCTTCAGAACCTCCTCGGGCAGCAAGGTCCAGAAGTTCACTACCTGCTGTGGAAAGGAGTATTCTCTTTTACATGTTTTAACAAGACCTCCTATCAATTTCACTGTGTGTCTCCCAGTTCCAGTGATCTGGGATTTGGTGAAGAACTGCTCCATGCTTGTCTTATCCACCACCTTCTTGATACTGCAAACCGTACTACACACTGTTCAGTGTTGTCTAGGAGTGAACGCAAATATGCAATATTCAAACAGACGGAAAGTTACAGAGATGACTGGATTATAACCAGTAGATAAGGGGTCCATCTAAGAGTATTCAGAAATGAAAATTCTAGGCAATATATTCAGTTTCCTCACCTGGGATTATGCAAAGGAAATACTGCTGTATCATCTACATACTGATAATGTAATTATAAAGATTTGACTTCATAAAATTGCTTACATTGAATAAAAATCTAGCTTTCCCTGAAATTGGAAGAATCTATGCTTTTACCCATCATCTCCTCTATCCCAAATAATTCACCTCAGTTGTATTGGTCTTGCAAAGATTATAAATGATGCAACAAAATGATTGATAATTACTGGAATCCTTTGCCACTGAAAAGCATGAAGAGTATAATATCTCTTATAAATATCTCTTACAGTACAAAAGTTTTATTCTTTCTTTGATTAATATCTCTTTTCTTTGATAACATTTTCTTTAGATTCCCCAGAATTTGCTTAGATTCTCTTTTTAGATAGCTTTAGATGACACTAATAAGAACATTAACAAGATTTTCCTGGAAATAATATGCCACTATTATATCAATGGGTAGGCATATGTAGAAAGTTCTGGAAAAGTTACGTAAGATTGCCTGTTATGTAATAAAAGCAAGCTACCTTTCAAACACTATTTGCATTAAAGTTGTCTATAAAAATAACAAATTTATCCAATCTCTTTGGACACACATAAAGAAAAAACAGATGGTTGTCACACATATATGTTGTTTGACCATTTCTAGAAAAAAATCCCCTTCCACATCTTTAAAGAGCTTACACAGACTGTATATATCCTTGATGCATTGCACCTTGAATGCTGACAAACTCTGAACTGGGTTTTTTGTTGTATTGATTTCACTGTATTTTGGGTATATGTAAAACATATGGTTTTGGTTCAGATATTCTTGGCTATGCTTTTTTCCTGTTGAGGGAATGACCAGTTCAGAGGTTCTAGATGCAATACCAATTTTCTATCCCAGCTAAGAGCACTAGCCCTTTCCAGTCCAGTGTCCTTCCTCAGACAACAGTATATCATCAGTGTGATACTGAAAAAGACACTGGGGAGTAAGGAGTCAAGAAGTAGCTGACTAAATGTGTATAAGATGATGTATGCAAGGGAAAAATATGAAACCTTCAATAATCACCTGATGGTTTGGGGCATGACATGTGATCATTCAGGGTAGGAAACAGTGGAATCATTTTCTGAAGTGGTTTGAAAGTCTTCAGGTTCTTGTATCTGCTCCTTTAATTTATAACATTAGCATTTTTTAATCACTGCTTTTACTACAGAATTTGATAACAGAATGGTAACTGTGGAGATTGAATTCCAAGTCCAGAACAAGTCTATGGCTAGCAATCATACAAACAGATTCCTCTTACTGCTCCATAAAAAGAATATGTTTCTACTCTACTTGGCAAAGACTTTGCCCATATGCAGTAAAAGAAACAATTTCTACATTCGCTAAGACTGTAGCATTCCTTTAGGACTACTTATAAAAGTGCCAACTGTTGCTGTGATTTTTGAGTACATGACCTCTTGCTCTTAGTCTTAAGATTGCCATTAGAAACCAGATATGATGCTACAGCAGACCAAAATTACTCATTCAATGATCACACACAGAATCACACACAGAATGGTTTAGGTTGGAAGGGACCTCTGGAGATCATCCAGTCCAACCCCCCTGCTCAAGCAGGGACCTCTAGAGCATATTGCCCAGGATCACATCCAGACGGGTTTTGAATATCTCCAGCGAAGGAGACTCCACTACCTCTCTGGGCAACCTCTTCCAGTACTCTGTCACCCTCACAGTAAAGAAGTTTTTTCTCAGGTTTAGATGGAACTTCCTGTGGTTCAGTTTTTGCCCATTGCCTCTTGTCCTGTCACTGGGCACCACGGAGAAGAGATTGGCCTCATCCTCTTGATACCCCCCCCTTCAGATACTTGTACTGATCTACAGATCAGTATATCTATACAGATATTTATAATGATCTTCCCAATGTTTCTAGATTGTTGGCTAGGTAAAGCCACAGGATTTTTCTTCTTACAGAAATGATTGGGAAGTAAACAGAAGACATCTTTAGTTTTTTTTTTTTTTTCCCTTCCCCATTGATAG